TCCCCTTCCCCCAATTCCCCAATAAAAATCTTTAAAAAAAAAATAAAGGAAGGACTCAACCAGCCATTGCTGACTTTAAAGATGGAGGAGGAGGGCACAGCCAAGGAACATGGGCAGCCTATAGAAGCTGGAAAAGGCAGGGAAGGGACTCTTCTCTAGAGCCTTCAGAAAGGAACAGCCTTATCAACATCTCGATCTTTATCCATGGAGACCTGGCCAGACTTCCGACTTATGGAATTCTAAAATGATAATTTGTGTTTTAAGTCCCTAAATTGTGGAAATTTGTTACAACAGCAATAGAAAACTAATAAATTCTCCAAGACTCTTTAAAACTCTTACCTTGCTGTCTTCACTAATCCTAACCTATTACATCATGATTGTTAACCAATCCTAACCAAGTCCCCTGAATTGAAAAGTTCTCTTAAGCCAGGTCCCTGAACCTTTTAAATATCCCAACTTCACCCTTGGAAATGCCAATGAGATTGTCAAGGTACCGGTCTGTCTTATCAGTAGGATAACTGTGGTAACCATCGCACTTTGCAGTTCGGTCTTGGAGGGTGTAGGACCGACAGACACCAAGCAAGGAGTTGTGTTCATTCCAATCACTGACCCTATAAGATTTGGATATGTCCTTCATATTTGACTGGATTTACAGTGGTTTCAGCAGTGTGCTACAGTTTTTAGGACTATATAAGAAAACTGGCAAATTGGTATTTCTTGCATTGGATAATGCTGGAAAATAATACTGCTACACATGCTACATGATGACAGGCTTGGACAACATGTCCCAATGTTACATCCCACCTCAGAAGAACTAACCATTGCTGGCATGACCTTCACAACTTTTGATCTGGGTGGACATGTTCAAGCTCGAAGAGTATGGAAAACCTACCTTTCTGCTATCAATGGCATTGTATTTTTGGTGGATTGTGCAGACCATAAAAGGCTGTTGGAATCAAAAGAACTTGATTCACTAATGACCAATGAAACCATTGCTAATGTTCCTATACTGATTCTTGAGAATAATATCGACAGACCTGAAGCCATCAGTGAAGAGAGGTTATGAGAGATGTTTGATTTATATGGTTAGACAACAGGAAAGGGCAGTGTAGCTCTGAAAGAATTGCACACCCGGCCCTTAGAAGTTTTCATGTGCAGTGTGCTCAAAAGGCAAGGTTACGGAGAAGGCTTCCGCTGGATGGCACAGTACATCGAGTAACACCAGCCTGCATCGGGCCCAGGTCTCGCCATTCAGGCCTACTCAGAGATTTGATTGCTGAACATGCATAACTTGAATTCAATAGACTTTTGTTGGCTAGAAAACAGAGGTTTTTTTAGATTATTAATATTATATCAACTTAATCTGAGAATTGAAAACTGATTCAAGTAAGTTTCACTATCACAATGTTAGCTTTCTAATTCCATAAAGATAGTTTTTACAGTTTATAATCTGACATTACCCCCAGCGCCATTTATAAAGAGCAACAACTTTCCAGCAGCGCATTTGAAGCACTTTTTAACAACATGAATGTGTAAATATAAACTGTAATTAAGAGCTCATCATGTTAAATTTTAATGTACTTTTTTTGGAACTAATTTTTAAATTTTAGATATGTCCACCTATCTTAAGTGTACAGTTAATAATTAGTTTATTGATGATTGCATACATCATCAGTTTTCAATATTTTTTTATGCAAATGTCATGCAATAAAACAAACCCTCATGTTTGGGAAAAAAAGGAATTAAAAAAAGAAAAACATGTACTTCTATTGATGACAGTGAATTACCATCTTTTAGGGCTGATACAAACATTTTATAATAATAATATGCACATTTCTTATGATAGATTAATACAAAGTTCCTCAAAACCCTAGACTTTTATTAAAAGCAATCTTTAACATGTTTGCTTCAAAATTAGTTAGTAGAAAGTAAAAAAACAGCTTCAAAAAGCTCCTTCATAGGAAGAAAACAGTAAGAGGCAGATTATAAAGTGTTTTTCAAATGATGAAGCCGAGGTAGTACCTCTGGACAGTTACTGTACAGGGTTCTATGAGACCTTTGAGAATCCCGTCTAGCCTATAACTATTATTTTTACTCTCAAATTATAGCTTGCTCTGACTGGCACGATGTGAAGAGGTGAAGGAAAGCGTTCAAAATAATATCGTGAAGAAAAGGATTAGTGGCAGAAAATGTTTAGATGACGAAGAAAAAAAGGGCTGGCTTGGTTTTCTGAGAGAAGTTGAAGCGAGATTCTAAGCAGCCTCCTGCAGAAAGCCCCCTCAGACTGCCTATTGGGCCCGACCTTTCGGGGGCCGCTGGACTCCGGGCTTCAGCGTCAGCACCGGAAGCAGGTCTCGGGGGGCTGCAGAGGCGCGGACGGCCTGAGCCCTTCACCTGAGCCCGGGAACCGGTCGGTCCGGCTCGGCCCGGCGCCGCCCTCCGAACCCCGCTAGCGGCTACGCGCAGGAGGGTGCGCGCCGGGATGTGCAGGTCTGGTCCTGCCCGGCCCGCCCTCCTGACGCGGCCGGAGGCCCGGAGGCGCCGGCCTAAGCCACCCCAGCCGGCGCTCGGCCCTCCCGGGATCGTCGGACCTGACAACCGAGCACGCCACCACCTCCGACGTCGCCGCCCGGCCCTGCGGCTCCCGTGGCTCCGCAACCCCCAGCATTTCTGACAGGGAGGGGCGCGGCGGCATCACGTGACGCCTCGCCCCCGCCCGGTCCTGGTCACATGGGTGGCGCGGCCGCTGCGTCAGTCACAGTCCTGGCTGCGGGAGTCGAGCCGCCGCCGCCGCCGCC